TATATTATCAAACTTTAATGAATCAAAGTAAGTTAAGAGTTAAAAAAAATTCATAAAAACTATAAACGAGCTGAGCTTGTGGTAACTATTAAGTTCAGGTGCACTTTTCACGTTGTCCTATTTATTTTTTTAATTAAATTTTTAAAAGTAGTTTGTTTGACCATAAAAAGAGTCGAATAGGCTCCACCAACACCAAGGTTAATGCCTTCTTGTAGCCTTCCCCACAGCCCCATAGCTCATTGGACTTAAAATATGTTTGAAGTTGGTTAAATAAATTGCCTTGTTTCAACATGTCCAAACCTAATTAATTCTGATCAAATAAATAATTTTCAAATAATATTCAGCTCCAACTCGTTATAACGGACAAATTACTTTTTGTGTGTCGTAATCAAGGAATAAGGTAAGGTAATTAATTATAAAAATCAATATAGTAAGGTATCAGATAAAACTGCATTGAAGATCAGAAAATTAATAGTAATTTTTCTCAACAAAGTAGGTGCTGATATTGTAGAGATGAAAGTTACAACAAAAAAAAAAAAGGATACCTTATAAACCAAACTGGAAAAAATTGTAAAATTCATTACATAACTTAGAATTTGTGGATTTTTCCCTATAAATAAATAGCCCAAATTAATATTATACATGTCAAATTAACCAAATAAATTGTTGACCATGATTCTTGATCAAATTGGCTAAATTTCCATGCACAATTTGAGGATACACTATATATCAATCATATATTAAAATCGTTCAAACCCCAACTGGGACAGAGCTAAGATAATCAAGTTAATGATAAATGCAAATATATCAACATATAAAAACTGGCACAGATGAAGCAAATGATCATAATGTAACACTAATAACAAAATAACGGCAATTTGAAAAGTGTGAGCAAATTCAAAATCATCCATGTCCATATACATAAATAAACTAGCCATATCTGGATGATCTTCTGTAGCAATATTTAACCTCTGTTAATGCTGATAGCATTTACATCACTTTTTTTTTTTTTTTCATCTTTGTTTTTTATTAAAGCAGTTGAGTGCACATTAGCTTTCTACTTCAATGTCTTGCAGGTACATACGTAAATACTAATTTCGAGCACCTGATCATGAAGACATGAAAACTAATGGTATTCAGTTTTTCGGTTTACTTGTTATGCTGAAAAATTAGAGACAAGTACAGTATGGAGATAGGGATAAGGAGAAGGAGCCCGCGAATCTCAGCATCAAACGTTAACTATCAGTTATCGTCTATCCACAAAAGGAAGCAGAAGTTTGGTGACTCGACAGTCTCCAAACTAGCCAAACAAGTTTGGAAGGTACAATCATGTATCTCTAATATCTAAGTCAAAGTTTTCATTTTATAGTACAATGCCCATAATGACTTGAAATATAGAAGCCTGATTATATAGCGCTCGGGACCCCTTTATCGACAACTTTTTTATTTAATTTATTTATTTCACATGATTCCAACTAATGACTACTTACTTTTATGTGGATACAGGGGAGATGCAATCCTGAAGAAGCACATGATTATCGCTCGACTGATAGCGGTGAGTTATTTTTTTGGGGATGATATTTGTGTGATTATTTGAATTGAGAAGAGAGGTGACATAACTTTAATTGTGTTTTTGTTGTGACAAATAGTGGAGTGGAGATCTACTCGCGATTCATCTCAAACAACTATTCAAAAACATGATGGTAATTGGTAAACATTGTCCCTTATGACATTAATTCTTCTTTTAGGGAGCTAATCTTTCCGTTTTTTGGCCAATTAAACAGACAAAGCATCGATAATGCCAGAAAAGCATGCACTTGAGCTTGTACTCGATACACTGCAAAGGTAATTAGCTGTTTTAGTTTTAAAATATACATCTGAACAGATTCTTGCATCTAACTGGGCCAGCTTGCTCATGTGTTGTTCTTGTTTCAGGAGAGACAATTATGAAATATTTGCCGAACCAGTTGATCCCGACGAGGTAAATTTCCATATTTTGTTCAATTAGCAGCAATGTGTGCTATATACAATATATATTGTGAGACCTGCATTTTGTTTGTTGCCTTTTCCTAATTGTAAAGGTGGACGATTACTCTGAAATCATTAAAGAGCCGATGGATTTTGGGACGATGAGGGCTAAACTACACGAAGGTATGTACGAGAGTCTTGAACAATTCGAGGTTAGGCTAATAAATTAATTCGACGACTATCAAAATGTCCAATCCAATGTGACCAACTAATTAGTGTTGGGACATTGATTGCAGCATGACCTGTTTTTGATACGAGAGAATGCAATGCATTTCAATTCATCAGCCACCGTTTATTTCAAACAGGTATCAACTATCACGAACGTAAAACTTTTGATTCTGATCAAATTATTAATAATCATACAGCTGGTTTGATAAAGATTATATATGTATCTGCAGGCTCGTGTTCTACACGAATTAGCAAAGAAGGTTTTCGATGCCCTTAAAGCGGATCCGAAAAACTTTGTTTCTAAATTTTCGGGTATGACAAGGAGATCGATGAGGAAAGCACTTATGAACAGAAGCAACGACAAAGAGACGTGTCTCAAAGACACGAAAACTCATCGTAATGCTTTTTCCAAGTGCAACAGCAATAGGAACAACAATCCAAATATCATTAGTCATACTTCTAACAACAAAGGGGGAAGAGGTTTTCTTCTCTCTCACTCTCTCGATTTATGATTTTTTTTTTTCTTGACATCAACACCGATTGATGTCGGGTGGATTTTTCACAGAAAACAGAGATGACAGGTTAGTCGAATCAGCAATATTATCATGTAAACGTCGCCAAACGCATGATTATGGGTCATCTTCATCCTTGTACCACCTATTCCAACACAACTCAACACCATCCCTTGTGGTATGACTCTCGGTTTTTTCTATTCCAAGTCAAAAGCTCGATCTTCAAACAATGTTCACAATTACTTTACTCTAGCTCGATGAAATATATAATAAGAAATCCAACCACATTTTAATGTTTCTTATAAAAATTTAGTAATGGTTGGCATTTGATGTCTTGGTGGCAGATGATGAAGAATGGGGGAGAGTATAGCTACAAGGATAGCTTAATGTCGTTTGTCAAGGATTTGGGACCAACAACACCAATGGTTGCAAAGTGCAAGTTGTTAGGGGACTCGAGTAATAATGCTCGGGTTGAGTTGAGCTCCACATCTATTGCTCCCATGCAAGAGAAACCCAATGCTCGTTTATCTGATCAAGTATTGTTATTTAAGACCTTCCGAGACTTTGCTCCAACAGCAGGCAACAAAAGCAATCCTTTACTCTACCTCCACAAAAAAAACCCAGTATTTGCTTCGACTCAAGATACTCAAAATGATACTCGAAATGCGGGAGAGAAAGTAAAAATAAGTTGTGACCATGAATTCGGAGTGAAACAGAAAACCGAGATGTTCCATAGTAGTCATTGCAACAGTAGGATCACCAAAAAAGACGTTCCTAGTAATAGTATTAGATCATCGGATGATATTGTTCGGCCAGTCATACTAGCTTTAGAGAATTATTGTCATTCTAATACTGCAAATGCAATGGATTTTAAGTTGAGGAACAAGAGAATGTTAACAATAGCCGCTGATGAGCAGCAGAGGGGGAATCCATCATCCAACTCCTTCAGTTTCGACCTTTCTTTTCTAAGAGCACGCCTAAATCAGATGAAAGCACCATCACCATCACTTTACAGAGGAGGATTCAATTTGGCAATCGAGCCTCCTATTCCAAATAACAGTTCATTCGATTCTCACTTGCCCCTTCG